TATAGTACAGGTGTGATGGTTCAAATACCAAAATGGCAACAGTACCAAAAGGACTTCCCTGGCGGCGATGATAAAATACGACCACGGAGCCAACAGATGAGGTTTCAACTGGTACTGGTATTATTATACTCTGCAAACATCAAGTACAAAAAAATAACGCGGTAAAACTCCACTATTCCAGTAACGGTAATATTACGTTGCGTGTGACACATACATAGTCGAGTGTTTGAAACAGTACATGTGTGTTTGTTTTCGGAAGTGCTTCATGATAAAACAATATGTAAGAAAAGTGTTTTAGTTACACTGATGAAATTGTGTACATAAACACTTATACAACATGCACAGACGAGTGTTTTACCTTGAAACATTACACGTGTGTTTGTTTTAGAATTGCTTCATGATAAAACGATCTGTAAGAAAAGTGTTTTAGTTACACTGATGAAATTGTGTACATGTCGTATACATAAACACTTATAAAACATGCGTAGTCGAGTGTTTTACCTTGAACATTACATGTGTGTTTCTTTAAAACAATTTAACAATTTGTGTTAGTGTGTTACTCTCATGATCACAAATGAGTCTTATACATTAACACTTTGCGAAACATTTATAGTCTGGTGTATCGGGTTGAAAAATAGTTGGTGATTTTGCTTTCTGAAGTGTTTTAAATCGAACATTTTTCAAGAAAAATCATATATTTAAATCACATGTGAGAATGCCCAGATGAAATTAGAACTACAACTACCGTTCAACAAATGCGAATTAATAAAATCCGTTATGCCACGAGGGATTTAATTCACCACGTGTCTCGATTTATAGTTGTAATGAGTTTTTATACCATATAAGTTGGTGCTTGACATAAAATTATTTACTGTAGGTAATGTCATCTCATCTCATTATGCATTGAATTACATACGTCACTTTCGGTGATTGTCTAGTTGGCATATATACCATAATGCTTATTCACAAGTCCCCAGACTTTTCACTCAAGTTTGGGAATACTGCTTGCATAAAGTTGGATGCATTAACCCATAATTGTTCTATTAATAAACATTTAAATGACACATTTATGTCACCGTAAACCACTAAGTGTTTTATTTTGAAAAAGTGTATTTATGTATGTGTACAATGTGCGCAATTTCCAGCAAAAAGTGTTTTAATAACTCCCTAATACAATGATAGAAAATACAAGTGTTTTATTATGTAACACACATGTTTTAATTACAACAGTGTGTTGAAAAACATGAAAGTGATTCCAATATTTACATTTGTGGGCAGAGGATTACCGTTCAGTTGCGGAACACAGACGCACTAATACATTTCAGAAAAGCCTCTATTTTAGCGTGCGCGTAATGGCATGAATCGTTATGGGTTGCTTTATACCAGTATCCTATTAATACTACTAATAATAATTGCGTACCCAATAAAGTTGATTTGATAAGAAAAATACATCGTTATGGTGGGTTAGGGAATGGCCAGTTATAAGAAATCTACGTAATTGTAAACAATTATATTTGCAAATACCACTGATCACAAGACGCCCACCACCAAATGGACTCGATGAAGATTAAATGATTAAATACAAAATAATAAATGAATCCGCAAAATTTATTGTGTATCAAAGCAATTTTGTAACTGAAAAGTAACACTGTACTATATATGTATTTTCTGTTGAAAATGAAAGAATGTAGTTTGATAATGCAAATTATGAAGTTAAGATTCAGCAATTCAAAATTACTTATTTGCATACGCTTCGTCCGTTTGTTTCATTTCTCATCTGCGTATGTATATTGTAGCACATTTGCTTCATACTGTTTACATCGAAGGTTTATCTATATGTTATTTTATGTAAAAATTACCACTTTAACCGACATAATATTTGTAATTAGCATATTAATGAATATTATTAATTTTATTTTCATTTCAATTATGATTTCTATGAACAATTATTCTAATTGTTTTGTATAGGACTTTCATGATTTCCGCGTATTGTGTATGCAGCTTAATACGGACATGGCGAGAAAGCTGGCAGTTTTGTTTATACTGCTTATGTACATCATAAGGTTAATTCCTGTTGTAACATTATTTTAATACTATCCATCTAGCTTTCTATACTTGCTATGAATGTGAATTGTCACTCCCAACGTTTACGGAAAGTCTTTCCCTTGTACGTCTTGTTGCCAAGCATTGCTCTTGTGAATTGTTTTCCACAAAACCTTTCATACTGCTGTTTTGCAAGCTTTTTCTTCAGCTGTCCAACATCCCGTGAAAGAAATTTACAATAATCCTCGTCGTCTTTTCTGTTTTTTCTACACCTTTCCTCACTCTCAGATAGCTTCAAACGAAATAGTGATAGATCTGCGTTGAAGTCACCATCATAATTCTTTATTTTATCCCATAGTGTCTTGTTAAAATGGTCATACCATTCAATATCAAGGTGCAATCCTTCTTCAATTAGTTCTCTCATTTCGTTTGATAGAGATGGTCGTTTCACACCAGATACCTTCTTGCTATGATATATTATATCATCAAATGTCCAACACATCATCTTTTTCAGTAGAATGAGAGATTCGTCCATATACTCTGTTATCATAACCAAATCAAACTCTTTACTTACTTCAGATATTCTATGATCATGCGTCAAACTAAACCATGTTGGCACTCGGGGCACAATCACCTTTTCTTTAATATCTCGGTAAGCACTGTCGGTAAGAAATGTTTGAAGAGGATTGACTTTATTCTGTAAGCCTAACATTTTATAAACATTTGAGAAATAAAATCTAGAAACAAATGTATCAACTGGTGAACGAAGAATTGTTATGAACTTTGCTCTTGGTAAAAAGTTCTTGAGAGAATTGAAATTATAACGATGCAAATGACTTGCAATGTAATTGTATCCCGGGAATCCAGTTTCACTACATGAATATTGTGTGGCTTGCACTTCAGAACTCGTGACTCGTAACATAAATTTAGCAGGCGGGTCTGGAATTGCCGCTACAAGGCCAGTATTGATACCATATCTGTAAAGTAGGGATGCTATAGTACTTCCACCAGTTTTTGCAGTTTTAACAAATATGAAATATTTATATGGTTCACAGGCTCCTGGTTTTGTGGTCGATACTTGTATGTAAGAATCATTGTCGCGATGACTGCGCATGTGCACTCTCTCTGTATATTCGTGTTCTTGAATTTGGGATAACGTACTCAGTGGAAAGTGTCCGATCTTCAGTAACAAATCTGAAATGCGTTTATAAGATTATTTATTAATAAAACAATTCCATTTCTATCCCATTATACAAAATAATACACTTTTTTCAGCACAGTCCCAATAGTTTGGGACATTTTTAATTTTATTTCTATTTGACCATTGATATTGAATGGGAATATTATTTTAATACACTAACATCTACATGGTTGACAATAATTGATCTTTTGTATATTTCTATCCTAAACGAATTTTAGGAATTGTGATTTATGTGTATTATTTATTCCAATATATCCTTTAGACTATGAAAGTATTAGTATAGTTGATAAACATTTTTTTCTAGCGCACGTGGTGGCATTATCCCACAAACAAAGTGAATGTTCCTGCAACCATCCTGGATATTGAAAACTGTACATCTGTGAACGAAAGTCGTATGGACAATTTATGACTGACAATGTCAAATGCGGTGTACAATGCAATGCACTGCGCTGTACTGCACAGTCGAATATACAAAAAATGATATGTTGTTAAGGCCCATATAAGTACAGAGCAAAATAATCTGTCTATGTCGACATTTTATTCTCTTCATAATTTTCATAAAGTACATCACTGTATTGACAAATTTGGGCTGCTTGAACCATTTTTATTGAACAAATTTATAGAAGAATCCCGGTACGAATCAAGGAATAATTAGCTAGCCACATTTAATTGAAAAATAAATCTTCAAAGACTTGACAAATATGTAAGATATTGTAGCATACTAATAATGACATCTTCAGTGAAGGAAAGTTTTGCATCTTTTTTTGGCAAAGTGAGTAAGACGAATCGTAATGAATTTGGAGCGACTAGAACCAATTATAAAAAAAATGCTTGACATACCTTAATACCATGTGACTTTAATGTATCAGGTAGTATCATAATAGATGACATTGAGTAATACAAATAGGTTAAGAGAAGTCAATTATTTCAAAATCGTTTTTAGGAATTTTTCGCTAACCTCTTTTGATTTATACCTAAAATAATGATATCATAATATTTGTTTTATCGAAATATTGTCGAGCGTGCGACTGTGTTATGCTGTGTTCGTATTGTATCAACGTTTTGTTCACGGCAAATGACTGAGAAGAATTCAATATATATGCAACAATTAAGGTTATTTATATTACCTTTCTTATTCCGTGATTGGTTGCTTGACAACGACATGTACTCATACACGCATATTATGCAACATACTAACATGACAGCGATACGAGAAAATATCTTCATTTTCCTTGTTCTGTAGAAATATAGTCCGACTTTTCACTATAATTTATTCTGAAAGAGTAGAGAAAAAGTCCATTCAACTAATCCCTCCTTGAACTGTGTAATAACTTGTTGTCACTCAGCCATTCAAAACGAAGCTTAGTTGATTGGAGTAAAACGTTTAAACCCAACAAATTAGATATGAACAATTTAACAATTCTGGGCGGGAGAACTTACAGCTCACTTGTTCTCCGGGTAAACCCAAGTTACCATAGAAGTACAGTCCAATATTCAACTATTTAAAAGGAAACCGTTCTCAATTTGCCTATTTTGTTTAAATAAAGGTAGTCTGCGATTCATGGATGAGAGCACTTAAATTATTCTCAATTCGCTTTGTTAGCCATTTAGTCTACAGTATGTTATTGAACGCCAAATCTGAGTTTGACACCCGTCTTTGCTTTTTGTTTGATAGTTACAGAGGTATAGCGCAATGACTATTAGACAACATTTAGTGAGTTTTGATTTGAAGAATTTAGAGCATTTACAACAATAAGTCAAATAGATTTTCAAAAATAGTGCAAAAATTCATTCAATCATTCCAGGGCGTCTTGTAAGTTTTCAGTGATTTTAAAGATTGTGTCATTGATTGTGATAGCGCCCTCACAAGATTCATATTTTTAATCTGTTAGTTTGGGACTACATTCGGTAATTACACACTTTTTATCATCTTTGGATTGGCGTTGGTATTGCCGTGATCACTTTCTTCTCCGAACGTTTTATTGGCTGTGATACCACATTCAATTCGTATCCGGCCACAAACACGAAAACTGAATGCTTTATAACGCTCTTGTGTTTGAAATGTTTATTTCTTATGTACTGAAAAACGTAATTCCGTAGACATGGAAAAAGTGTAAAACATAATCAGCTATTTTATTCTTCCGTAATTCGTACACAGATCTTATTTTTTGTAACTGTGTAAAGAATTTTTCACATTAACATTACATACTTGTAATTGCTATTTTGAAGCCCGATGTCATGCGAAAAATCATCCCTGTGATCAATTTCCGGAATTTTTTCCACAGTTTAGTGGATTCTCGTAAATAATGTGCATTGTTCATTGAAAACAAATGTTCTGATGTTGGTGCATCGACGACAGAGGGCTAAGTTGTTACGTATATCTCAAAGTTTTGGACACACACATGTTATATATCTTGTTGACTGAATTATTTCAGTTCTATATATTTATATTTGAATTATTTATACTAATAACTTGTACATTGCAAGTAAAGCCTACTTATATTCATTTGCGAATAACTCGTACGTCAGAAGTACAGTGTATTTGAAATAATTTGGCGAGATGATCAGTTCAGAAAAGTTTATTCACTCTCTTGTATTTCGACAAATATACTAGTTTACTCGTTTAATTTGCAGTCTGTTAGCTTGATATTGATTTTTAAAAATAAATATTTTTAATGATTTGCAGCGACAAACGCACCATGTATGTATAATTGCTTGTATGTATAATATAACATTGACATTGCATTTTTTAATCGTATCAGTTGTTGATACATGTGACTGGATTTTATATCAAATAAAAATTAATAAACACCATGCTTGCAACTACGCAGAGTTATTATTAGATGAATGTAAAAACGCCGTACTTGTAAGGATATTGGTAAATAAATACAAATGAGCGTATGGGTAAAAACCACATGTATATGCATAAAAACACGCTATTATATTAGTAAATATATTTAGAATTAATAATTAAATCTAAATATATGTATATAACTGCAAATAGTCAATCGATAAGATGTATAAATAAATATGTGTGTGGTCGAAACTATTTTTGGGATGGCGAATGGTGGCTGACTCCCGCCCACCGTATATTCATACATATTGCAGTTATATTATTGAAATTATCTGTTGTTGGAAGTATAACGGCTTAGCGCTACGTCATGTAACTGGGGATCGATACGTCCACAGCCCTTTTGATCAATCAAAGACCAACACAGAGATGGAATTGTGTCAACCTCTAGTCTTCGTGCCTCGTGTAGAGTGACCGAGACTACTTTATTCGCCTTTCTCAAACCATCGCCCCTTACATAGAAGTTCAAGATCTTGAGGCGTGCCCTCCACACATTCCACTCATGTAGCTAATCACACAAAGTATTTAACACGTCTTAACATATTTGATTAATTTCTCTCTGTATTGGAAAGTTACTTCTACATCTATGTCGTTAGTTTATACCCGTGGGCGCCAACAGTATTAAATTAACATTCCGTGGCGACATTTATATCCGTAATTAGTTCCAATCACTGACTCGAGTGTATAAGCCTAAATGATGACAGGTTATGGGCATGTGTCGAATGATATCAACCAGCACTTCACTGGAAACCAGCTATCAAATCAGGTATCTAGACACATGAATATAAATTCATGACAAAAGTCACGATTCTCTGAAATACTAATACCAAAGGTACAATTGCAGAAACTATCATTAAATACAAATAATACATTTATAAACAAAATACAACAACCTAGCAATATCACGAACACATCTGTTTGTGAATATCTAACATGTGGAGTAAGATACTAGCCTATCTTACCATAGTGTCAGAACATCCGAACTTAATGTCGTTGATCGCGCAACATACACTGATATCAAAGTTATTTTCCTTTGTCATACCAAAACAACAAAAGATAAATGTAGATATAGTCCTTGAAAAAAAGCGATAACAAGCGATAACCCAAGAAGGTATGCTCATATTTCTGCACAAGCAAATTCGACCCGTAATAAGCAAGGCGTTGCCAGGATATCACTGAATCCACTGAACAAATCTGAAAGTTACTCTCTCCATCTTTGGCTTTGGCAGTACCTTTGAAGATGATTTCAACACTAGAAGCAATATGACTTTTCAGTCTATAGTCAGACAAATTAATCGTTTGTGAATGAAGTCAGGCTGGGAATGTTCGCATAGAATTACAAACCAACCAATTGTAAAGAAAATGCAAGGAATTGATGCAGCTTGTTTCCACTCTGCAAAGATGTTCTGGTACAAACATTGGTGTGGTGCATTTATGTCATGCACATCTAGAAAATTCACTAGATAATATCCGACTCATAGATCATGGTTACACGTAGTCATATGGTAACCTATACTTTCTGATACCATGGAACCAGATCACGAGAAAAACGTATTCTGGTCAATATTTGGGTAAGAATAAAAACAATTTAATGTAAATGTGTCGTTAAAATGTCGTAAATCTGATTTTACATTTGCAATCTTCATAATGTAAAGTTGTTTCTTTTGACATATAAATGATATAATATTATATTATTACCAAATCAAATCTGTTTTGTACATGCAAAGAGTTTTCATTTGATTTGTAACACATAAATTGTGAATAAAAATGATATTTGTCACATCACCAAAAAACAAAAGAAACTAATTTTGACCAATTATGATTAAAATGCCAGTCAGAAAGGACGAAAACGTTGATTTTCCCTGCGCGGTATCAGTACCTATTTGTACATGGAAAACGTGAAATTCTGATCAAAGCCACATAGAAGATATCTGTAGGAATGTAGAACATATATACGTTTTCATCTTACCGATATAAAATAAAACACATGAAACACATTACCTGTTATGCATAGTATGTATTGCGTGAAATGGTGAATATAACCTAAATCGCGGATATTTATAATTGATGAATAATGCATATTTCATTGACTTTCCTCAAGGTTAACATGCCGCACATAAGCTATTCAACTTTTTATTGTATCAATGAATGGTGCATAAACGAAAGATTAATTAACTTACATAAGATAGCAAAACGAAAATTGTGGTAACAGTCGTTTGCTTGTGGTAACAGACGTTTGGTTTTTGTCAAAAAAAAAATAATAATAATGTTTTTGATTGTCGATGCTAATTGTGGTAACAGCCGTTTGCTTGAATATTCACTATAAATGAGTTCTGTTCTACTCATTCGGTTGACATCAATAATTCATATATTTAAATCCCATAATTTGTTGATGTTTATTATTTCACACATGTTTTAATGTGTAAACAATACTGATAATTAAGATTATACTTTACTATCAATTACTTCATATTTATTGCATATACAGTAAGTAACTTGTACATTTGTGAGTTATAAAATCACCCTCTGTGATAGTTAATAGATTCCATGACACATGTGACATTATGTCAATTCAAGAACCCTAGCTTATTTTGTGATGTCGATAGGAATGCATGATAGATTATCCCCTCCCTATGTGTGCGACAAATCTTCCGGCGGAAAGTCGCGCTTAAATTGATGAAGGGTGGACATCGTGATAATGGTATTGGTGTGAAAATATCAGACTTACTTGATCTTGTTTTTTTCCAATATTTATTTTACTACAATGACTATGACTTACATGATGAGTGTATTTGGTCTATTACGATCGATATATTTTATTGTATTATAACATTAATAGTATTATTTTCGGCTTTAAAAACTACCCTATGCATATGATACGATATGATATTTTGGGATGTCTTGAAATTGTTCAAGAAAATTACCAGAATGCACTCACATAATGTTTTAATCAGGAGAAACGAAAGCTCATGTTATATTAAATAAACAATATTGATAGTGTAGTCTGTAATAGTTTTTTTATACATATATCATGTTCACTGTATGTTCATGTTCTCACTTGCAATTGCAATCATTGCATTAAAAATACAAAATTCTATTAAAGCATAATACATTTACGTTACATCAACATTGGCATAGGTTGTAGCTACGACAGCTATGTTTTATTTCAGTCAGTATATGTTCTACCATTTACTTTATATTTAGATTTCGTTGACTGGCATGGACACTACTACATTTTATAATTACGTGATTAAATATACATACATCCATTTATCGAATTATTATTTCACTGCTATGAAATGAAAAAACCC